AATGCAAGAACAACATTTTACAACAGCTTCTTGTTTTACCCAGAAAGTAGCATAGCTATGGAAGGTCCATTTCTTTAACTTGACTATTATTTTTGGAAGGCAGTTGGGCTACAGTTTGAAGAAAATGAAGCTTGCCACTGATTGCTATCATATCAAGAAGTCGGGCTATATGTAATTTGCATGTGCAAGTTTTCTATTCTCAGTTTAATTTTCCGTTGTTGTTAATATTGGACATGTATAAGTTGGAAAAGATGTAATTTAACTTATATACTTAAGGGCCTGTTTGGGAGTTGTGTTAAATTCTCAGTTAGAAAAATCCAACAACTTTTGTTTCAGGATTTCATTTTCCTTTGTTGTTAAGTAATTTGTAATTTTTTGTTTAGATATATGAGAATATTGCGGCAACTGTTTGCAATATGCCCTATTGGAGTTCTTGAAAATCACTGCTTTTTGAATGAAATATGTGAAGCATAGTAGTCGGGAACTCCATTCTCCCAAAATAACGTGATTCAACACCAAAGAATTTCTGTGCTACAATATGTTATTCATCTTTGCATAGTCATAAATAAAACAGTTGAATACAGTACAACAGCTAGTTGCTTAATAAACATAAGGGCTTTATGCTAGGATTTAAATGTGAAACAAATGTGACCAAAGATTACTCCTACTAGTGAATGTGATTCACAAGTTCATTTTTTTCTTAGAAACCGCACTGAAATGCAGATTAGACATACATAAAACCAATATATCGTTATACAAATTGAAATTCACATCATCCTAGTGCTACAACTGACAACATGACTCAAATCACCCCCTCAATCTGATCTCTTTCCTTTCTCGTCACAGTTGACAATTCCTTTTCCCTTGCGAAAAATCATTTGCAGTGATATGTCGACATCTCGTTTCTCGCTAATTCTAGCTAGCCCATCAAAGAGTCTTGGCAATTCTTCATCTTCCTTGTCGGGCGCCTGATTGTTCACAATTTCCTCCTCTCATTTTAGCTGATTACTGCAAATGAAACAAACTCATCAAAGAGATGGACTCGAAGATGTAGTTAAATAATTGATTATACATACATAAACAATGCATATATAAATTTACTAGCTTACTGTGCGTGCAAGAGTAACTATTCTACTAAATCCTTTTCCAGCATTATGTTGATTCATTGCAATATCTATTGGGAGATATGAGAAACTAGATCATTTGCAACTACAAAAAGGCCATGCTAACTTTGGTCTACCCGTCCTCCTAACATGTTACGCTGAAATGGCTTCAATCTTCTAAGCAATAGCCCTGTCAAAACCATGTTTGATTTTCCCATTATACAATCTTGTATTCAATCTCAACAGCCAGTGCAGGAAATTCCATCTTGATTTTCCCATTATACAACCATGTTTGAATTTTCTCATTATACAATCTTCTATTCAAAACCATGTTTGAATTTTGATTTTCCCATTATACAACCTTGTATTCAATCTCAACAGCCGGTGCAGGAAACAAAGATAAATCGACATCCAAAATCCAAATTTGTATAGTGAGAAAACTTTCGAAATTCAAACATGGTAGTTATAAAAAACCATTATCCAATCTCAAAATCCATGTCAAAAAACAATTTAACAAATTCTTACATTACTGCCAGGGGATGGAGGTGTGGCTGAGGTGAGTGGGGCGCCAGGGAAGGAAGTGAATGCGGCTGAGGTGAGTGCGGCGCCAGGCGATGACGGTGAGTGCGGCTGTCGATTCTACTTGGAGTAGGAGCTTAGGGCAAACTGACGTCAAATCGTGGCTGCCAATGGTGTAAATGCGAAGGATGCGATGTATGCTTTTCGTCGACGTCAGCCAGTGGTGACGGTGAGTGCGGCGGCCGACTTGGCTTTGGTAGAAGTCGCGTCTGTACCAATGTCAATTTGGGGGAATTGGGGAAACTCATTTGGGTTTAGCGGGTGTGGGTTGCCCTTTTGTTTTTTCCCAATTTCCTATTAATTTTATTGTAATTTTAATGCCAAGTCAGCCATTTTAAATTCCTGTATGTTTTCTGTCAAAATGCTTCTGTACCTATAGCAGCTATAGAATTGAATTTTGAAACCTAAACAAAAGTATTTTGAAGTGATTTGATATAGTTCAACTTAACCCTAACGCATGTACGTTACGCACCCCAAACGGCAACATATTCCTTGCTTTTCTTCGAATCCCAGCAACAAAACCCAACCTTTTACTGTTTCCCACCACAAACGCATTTCAATTCCTGTAAAGATGGCAGCTTTTACTATCTTCGCCGAGTATACAAACCTTGATTTCTCGAATATCATGAAAAGGAAATAAATCCCGAGTCGCCCTTTTGAATTCCAAGCATTTTTGCAACGTTTTTGTTGAATCGGGCCTTTTTCCACAGAGTATTACGTGAATTCCTCTCAGTTTAGTTCCGAATTGTGAATTTTAGGGGTTTTTCGAAAAAACATTTAAATTTAACCTAGAAACTCCAAAGATTGAATTCCGTTTCATTTAATCTGTAAAGACTGAATCTTAGTTTGTCTATTTAGTTCTTGATTTCTCGAACCAGTGTTTCTGTATTTGAGATTAAGGTTATTATTTGAAAATTTCGGGGGACTGAACTTTA